TTCTTTACTATCTGGCTTAATCCAAGACAAATTGACTTCAGCTGTTTCTGCATTTCAATTTCTTGTGATTCATTGTTTTGTTTGTACCATATGACACAATCTGAACTTACTTAGATATGAAATTGGAAAGGGGAGAATTTTCACAGTTCCTAGAAGGTCCTTCCAGGCCCCTGAGACCACATTTTGAGTTGAGAAACAATAGTATAAAGTATACTGGGAAAGTAAATACCCTTTCCAAAATAGTTTTTAAAGAAAAGTTAACTCTGAATTCAAAACAAGTGATCACACTAGAAGATTGCTATTCTAGACTTTTTGCAATCCAACCTATTCTGAATATTTCTGGAATTCATATAATTTAACTCTCAGAGAATTAAAAGAGAAAGGCATGCTAATATGGAATATGTTCTACATAACATTAAAATAAAAAATGAAATTTATATTTGTATTGGAAAAATATTTATTGGACATAAAAAATATCTTGTGAAAAAATTTCAAGGTTCCCTCTGTTATCATTTACATTCTTCAGAAATATATGACAATAAGAGGGACAACCTTAAATTTCATAATCCCTAAATGTATAGGCAGAAAAATAGATCCTAATACCAAAAATCACCGTCAACCTGAAGAGATAATTAGATAAAAATAATTTGCATAACAGAGTTAAACATTTTGGAGATTTATAGTACAACATGATCATTACAGGTAGCAAAAATGTACTGTATATGGAATTCATGTTACAGAAGTAGATTTTAGCTGCTAAGGCCACAAAAACAACAACAAAAAATGGGTAATTATATAAATGATTCATATGTTAATTTGCTTCGCTTTAATAACTTTTATACTATATGTTATAATGTCATGCTGTATACTTTAAAAATACACTAAGATTTTTCAAAAATAATAATCTGTATCAGAATTTTCTTCAACAGCATCTGCCAAAATTGAAACAAAAAGTGAGGCAAGAGTTCTTTGGAAGAGATTTATTAATATCATCTGGGTTTTCTGGCAATGCTTCTGTTATTCAAAGATCTCTCCTTTATACAAGTGGAATACCTATTTCTCAATGGAAATTTTTCACCATTTTTTTTACTCACAAAGTCAGTGAGCTTTCACAGTCTTGTTCTATCATTGGGCTCCCTCCTGGACCATGCTGTCCTATGGATTGGGCAGTCTGATGTCACTCATTGGCTATCAGCAGCCCACATATCACACAATCCCCGTGCAGGCTCTTAACAGTTCAGTCTTCATTTCATATTGACAATAGTGTGGGTTTTAAATGGATAGTGATGTCAAAGTCTTTTAGAATAAACCTCCTTTAAATATTAGCAATTCACAGAAAATGATCTTCCACTGAACAATGCAACTTTTAAAACAAAACTTATAGTCTTTCTTTACTATCTTTCACTACCTTCAGATGGTATTATGTACATAAGTCTTATCTCCCAAATGAGATTGTAACATTTCTTTGGGAGAGAGCTTATTTTATTTGTTTGTTTTCACATATCCCACAGTGTATAAAATGGAGGTGAGCAGATAAAACCTATGTGAGACCCTTAATATGCACCATGTGTTCCTTACAGACACATTTTTAAAAAGTGAATTCAGAGATCCTTGACTCCTCCAGTTACATGGACCACATTTTCTAGTTTTTTCTTGTTTGTTTGTTTTTGTGGGGCTGGGGACCAAACCCAGGGTCTTGGGCATGTGAGGTGAGCACCTACCAACTGAGCTATATCCCCAGCCCCATTTTCTTGTTTTTAAATAGGTCACTTTTTTTTTCTCTTTCAAGTTTTGATGATATAACAAAAACTGTGGATTGTCTTCTGTTCCCCAAAGCATACAGCTTCAGGAACTGCTTCATCCAAATTTCAGCTCCAACCTTTCTTATTGGATAGAATCGTCATTGTTCTAGATTGCTTTAGTTTCGTCCAATTTATATCACCAGTAACATCAAAATAGTTGACAAAGTTACTGCCCAGAAATAGAGAATAACCCATCGGACTCCAGGTACAGATGCTCCATAATCTGCTAGATTCATTCAGCAGCTATGCAATTGCCTTAAATCAGTTTTTTTCAGAATGGATTCAAAAATGTCTCTGGGAACAAAATCCTAGATTACTACTTTGTAACCCCATGTGGATTACTGCTAAATGGTCAAACAATGGAATATTAAATCTACTGATATCAGTGCTTATTATAAATTAAGTATTAATTATTTATTAACCTGGGAAACAGAAGAAGAAGAAAAGGTAATACTTCAGGATTTTCTGCAAATGTAAAAGGGAGGGATCAAATATTGAAAGCAATCAATAAGGGAGCATTTGTTGTTTGCCAACATCCATTTTTCCTGATAATTAACCCTCCCCATCCCTCTCCATCCTGCTCAAAGAGAAGAGCCCATGACCCATACTCAGTCTTCTCATAGTTATACATTTCCTAGGAATAGGCATAGAAAACAAGCAAGGCCAATGAGAATACTACTTGACGTTAGCATATAGATATAGAAAGAGAGGCCTCTCTTCCCTTTAATGTGAGACTGAAGAATATAGACTTGGAACTTCTGTGGCCACGTTTCCTGCTATTTAGAAAAAAAAGGAAGACACACAAGACAACAACATAGGGTGGGTGGCAAGAAGAGATACACCAAACCAGAACCTCTGGATTTCACCGTACCTTTTTATATCTTTAGAAAATTCTACATGAGTGTCCCAATAAGTCACCTTTTAGCTTAAGCAAATTCAAACTTAAGTATTAGTTACTTGCCATTGAAAAATTTTTAATCAATGCATGGTCTGTCTGAATCCTATAGTATGAGCTGTCCAGAAAAGTAGCTATCCTTTAGTATCTGGGGAAGACTAGTGAAACAGCTTTCAAAGTTTTTGAGTCTCAGAGTACTGGATGTATCAAAATATGTGTCTTTCTATATTTCTTCATTATGAAAGCCCCAGAACATGTCAATGTGAGGTACAGTCATTTGAATTAGGTTATTTCTTACCAACTTGTTTTCCTCTACTCATAGTGAATCTGTCCTCACATGTAACTGTCTAGATTAGCTGTCAAGTATTAAAATGGACAGATCATATCTTCCTCCCCTCTTTTTAGTCAGAATTTATATCTGATGCTGCATTTTTATATGGGATGTTCATGCACATTTTAAGAAGTATGTTAGATTGCACAGACTGGCATCCATTTGACATAAGTAGAATATATTTTGTTTTATTTACAAATAAATTATAAATTTACTTTTAGTCTAATTTTCTCAGGCAAGAACATGTTAGAATACCCCGAGCTTGCCTGGTATGGTGGTACACACTTATAATTCCAGCGGCTCCAGAGGCTGAGGCAGGAGAATCAAAAGTTCAATGCCAGACTCAGCAAAAGTGAGGCATTAAGCAACTCAGTGAGAACCTGTCTCTAAATAAAATACAAAATATAGAGCTGGGGATGTGGCTTAGTGGCCAAGTACTCCTGAGTGCAATCCCTGGTATCGCCCCAAAAAGAATACCCCGAGTTTCCTAAATGATCACATTAATGATCAAGAGTTTTTTTTTTAATAGTTTAAGAGGCTTTACCAAGACTATCAACTGAGGAAAAAAACACATGAAACTTATAACACTCCTTTGAATATTTTTTATTTATTTTCAAATAATGTGTCCATTTGTGTTAATATTTTCATTAGAGAACAAAATTGAATTAGTAGGTGTTGTTGGTCCTCTTGAAAGTTGTGATTAATTGTCACCACTGAAATGAGATTGGGTTTCTATTCAAGCCCACCATATCTTCCTCAGAAGAAGTAACTTAACGGGTAGAACCCATTCTTCGGTAGGCTGTTGGATATACCCACAGTTTGGCTAACATTGCACATAAATTTCTTCACACTCATTTCTAAACCATGTGATCTCTGCCAATCCAATATGGACAGCTCATATTGCAGAAACCACAGTAAGGGTATAGGATATGTGTAAATGTGTGTGTATTTTTATATTTAGGATTTTTTTCTGGGAGAAGAGTATGCTCAACCCTTCTGTCTGCATATGACTTTTAGAGAACCAAAATACTCATTGTGATGAAGAAAAGTTAATCATGGACCTAGAGAGGGGAAAACATTCCTAATTTTGAATGTCATAAATTAAATGGTCATTATCCCCAACAATGAGATCAAATGGTAAACCATCTAGGGTTCTTTAATGACCAGCAATAGAAACAGAAAATCATAAAAAGGAAATTTAGTGGCTCATATAATTAGAAAGTTCAAAGGACAAACTATAAATGAACACTAGGAATTACATTATATGAAGAGTATTCTTTCTTCACATCTCATCAAACTTTCTTTTTTCCTTGTCGGTTTCATGTTCAATGCAGTGAACTCCATATGGTGTAAAAAATGGTCATGATAGATGCACAGTCCATCCTCTTTGGTCTCATCATTTCAGAGAAAAAGATAATACCTCATTCTTGATTATTTGACACAATTTCTGGATAGGACCTTCTGGAATGACTTGGGCCTGCTGAATGTCTTTGATGCCATCACCACATGGTCAGGGAATGGATTTTCTGATTGGCTAGGCGTGAATATGTGCCACCTTTGTATGAAGAACACAGAAGAAGTGATTGGCAGTTTCTTTAGGTCTGAGACAGAAACATCTATGAATGAAAAAGGAAGAGAAGGAGGAGGGATAGGTTGAGAGGAACTTGTGCCATATGGTAATAGTGATGATGACAACTTTTGACAAGAAAGGCAGGAAGATGACAAGAAAGAGGTCTGACAAGTTGTGGTCCCTGTTAGTCACCAGCTCTAATTTACATCTCAAGCAGAAAGATGGGACATGCAGCTGAAAAAAAAGGGAGGAAAGAGACATAAGCAAAATCCCTAGGGATTAGCTTCTCCCCTTGTCTGATTCACCCAGGGGGGTTAATGCTGTTTCTGATCTCTGTTACAATGAAGATTTTTCTAAGGTGGGACTTTCTTTCAGTTTATCTCTTTTTATTTTGCCTTTTAGGTGGACAAAAAAATCGTAAGAACTGAGATAGGAGTTCTTCTTCGCCTCTCACATCCAAACATTGTAAGTGGTTTTTAACCTATTATTTCAAATACTTTCAAGTTACAGAAAGGGATTGTTGTTTTTCACTGTCCATGTTAATAATGAGAAAGGGCTTCTTCCACCTCTGGGGGTCACTGGGTCTAGCTCTTGTCCTTGTCTTATCACATTTTCCATTTTTGGTCTGAATCAACCCTGCAAATGCATTCATTCATTTCCAAAGTAATATATACCACCATTATTTCCATGCATACAAGCATAGAACTTGGGAAGTTTTATTTCACTCTCATAAAACATTGGCTTTCTCACTCTTGTGTGCCTATCTTATTGATATGCCATTGCCCACAGGGCCAGTGATGAAAGTGCATTGCTTTCAAGAGTCCTTTCTGTCTCCTTTGAGAGAGTATCTGCTTCAGAAACAATGTGAAGATGCAAATAGATGATGTACTTGAATGGGGAAAATAAAATGTCCTCAGAATCTCTGCTTCCATCTATGTCCAGACAAAGCCTCTGAGAGAAATGCCTAGTGAAAAGCTTTCTTGAACCAATGAAGTGAAAAAGAACAAAAATCACTTTCTAGGCCATAACTTGTTTTTATGAATTAAGCCATCTACTTTAAAAAAATGTATTTTACCCACTTCTCTGAGAAATTTGTGCTCTCTGAGGGGATGAACTGCAATGCTGAGGCTCAAAGCAAAGTGCTTACAATTTAATGTCTGAGTTAGGAATGCATTTAGCCACACATCAGCAAATGCTTTTCTCATAAGAATCAGAAGTCAGGGGCTGGCATTGTAGCTCAGTGGTAGAGCACTTGCCTAACATGTGAGGCACTGGGTTCAATCCTCAGCACCACATAAAAATAAATTAATTAAATAAAGGTATTGTGTCCATCTACAACTAAAAAACAAAAACAATTAAAACAAATAATCAGAAGTAAGAAAGTTTCCAGCATTGATTCACCTCACTGACACCATCTAGGACACAGATGCCACCCATGCTTGGTCTTACCCTCCTCTGTGGGTTGACTTTCACCCTCATGCTTTCTCTTCATGATCCCAAAATGATGGCTGCACAGTTTTCACAAGTCCTCAGGTTTGTATTCAAGGGAGAAGGTCTCACCAGCTAAGTCAAATGAGAAAAGTTTTCTCAGGAACTGCTATAGCAGAATTCTTTTCAAATTTTCTTGGCTAAAGCTGTCACAAAATCATGGATGCTGGTAGACTGGACATGGGATTGTCACAAATCATTTAGACCAGTTGTGATCCACAAAACAGAACAAAATCATGATCTTATTCAAGGAAGCCTAGGCATCCTGCTTTCCTGAACAAAATCAGGGTTCTGTTTGCAATAAGTAGGGGAAAAGGGTTTGGGGAAAGCAATTTAAAAATCTGCCATACCCAATCACTACTTTTATAGTTTCTATCTCTTTTCTCTTCAAAGAGAGGCCAATGTGGAATTTTCTTCAAATGTGGATCAGTACTAGACACTAGATTCTCAGATGTATGCAGAAAAACATAAAAAGCAGTTTGGATTATCTGAATGTAACAAAAATACTGCTGTGGTCCATGAAATCTTTACCACCACTCATCCTTTTTTTTTTTTTTTTTGTACAAGGGATGGAAGTCAGGACCAATGGGCCACATCCCCAACACTATTTTGTATTTTATTTAGAGACAGGGTCTCACTGAGTTGCTTAGCACTTCACCTGGCCATGGCTGAGGCTGGCTTTGAACTTGCAATTCTCTTATCTCAGCCTCCCGAGCCGCTAGGATTATAGGTGTGCGCCCCCGTACCTGGCCCACCACTCATTCTTAAGGACCTCCTTTGCCCACTAGCAACTGTTAAGCTGTTGAGGATATCATTCACATACAGGCTTTAACGGGTTCTATGCTGACTCAGGCCCCTAATTCAGAGTCCCTTCTTTCCAAGAGAAAGAAGCATTTTACATCTCTAGCAACCATGATGTTGTCCAACTGATTTAGGAAATTGGGTTTTATTTTTGATTCTAATGATATTCAGAAGTTGGAATATTTTAGCAAAATTCAGGCAGTTATTCTTCAACTGCCAAAATGAAAAGTGTCAAAACTTAATAGAACCTTTGAAAAAGATGATGTAACTGACAAAATCAACAACCCAAAAGGAGAGTGACAAATATCTACCTGATACTAGAAAGAGGGACTTTTACTACCAATGATCCAATACTACTTATTGGAGAGAATGTAATTTTAGCCATAATCTTAGATAGTTTCAAGGAAGATTAAAATAAGGAACTTGTGATATCATTGACATATGTGTATATCTTTCCCCAGATAAAACTTAAAGAAATATTTGAAACTCCTGCAGAAATCAGTCTGGTCCTAGAACTCGTCACAGGAGGAGAACTATTTGACAGGTAAGGTAGACTTAGACATCTAACCACAGGAATGCTTGCTTTTGGCCCCCAAAAATAATCTAAGGGAAATTCTCCTGAAATGGAATAAATAAAAGAGCATAATAAAAGAACATTCTACTTGATAAATTTCCCTGAAATAAATATTAAGAAGGATGTTGAAAAAAGGTGGATAGTAGTTAATCAAATAGAGGTAGATGAAAATTTGGAATAAATAAATAGAGAACCACTATAACATCTTTCTAACTTTGCAAACACTAACACAATAAAAAATATAATTTTGAAAATCATATTAATTTAAATAGTAATATATGTGAAAATAATTTGAAAAAATATTTGCAGAAAACCATAAGAATTTAAACCTACACTCTAATAGTGTTCTTTATAATAATCCCCAAACTTATAGAAATCAATACTTTTCCAATGATTATTTTTAAATCTACTTTTAGGTAAAGAGTTCCATGTTTCAGGGTAAAACATTTTCTGTTTTTGCCAGTTATTGCCAATTTCAGTTGTCTGCTAGTTCATCTCTCAAAGGAATGGTTTGAGAATGTGGGAGGGAAGGATGCTTTTCAATCTGGCAGAACAGACAGGCAAACAAGCTTTATGTTTCTATAGTTTTTCCACCTTCCCCACCTACTCAGGAAAATTCCCTGTTTGCACTGTTGGGCTCTTGGGAGTCTTCTGCTATGTTCAAGATGGAATTGGAAGAAGGTAAAGAGACTAAGTAGGTTACACACTGGAAATGGTAAGAAGCTTTCCCTGGTGAAGTGTGCCCGTGGTGAGGGAGAATTGGGCTATGGTTTAAGAGGAAGACAAAGGAAAGACTGGGTGCCTGGGTCATGGTAAACGCTCCATAAATATTTGCTGAGTGAATGACTAAGTAAGTGGTACAATGAGTGGACTCTGAGGAGAAAGATATCTAAAGGGAATTAGTTTTGATTGTGTAGAGAGAGAAACCCTTCTCCCTCCTACTATGGCCTTAATGTTTGTGTTGCCCCAAAGTCACATATTGAAACCCTCACCACCAAGGTGAGGGTTTGTGAGGTGACTAGGCCAGTGCCTTGATGAATTGGATTAGTACCCTATACCAGAGGCTCAAGAGTGATACCTCCCCCTTTCTCTGTGTGTGGGACTTAGTGAAAAGGCTCAGTGAGGAAGCCAGCACTTGCCCAGACTCAGAATCTGCTGATTCCTTCAGCATGGACTTCCCAACCTCCAAAACTGTGAGAAAGAAACCATGGTGGTTTATCATCACCCAGTTAATGACATTTGGTTATAGCAGCTGAAATGAACTGAGACACCTCCTTCCCATCCTTACTCCACCCAGTTGAATTTGCTGCCTCTTCAAAAGTGTCCCAAAGTGGTTGGATTGTCTTTTCAACTGTTCTGTCTTTTATTTTGAACCTTACCCAGTAAGGATTTGAACCTTTAGGTGGGAAGGAACAAAATGGGCCACCTGGATTGTAACTACATATGTATCTTTAACAGAAGTCTAATTTTGTTTGTATGTATGTTGAAGTTTCCTTAGAACAGGTGGATTTTTTTAAAAAAATTTTACTCTTTTCATATTTTTACTCTTTTCATATTTTCAATAATAAGTCCACTACAGAAAGTGGGCATGGGTAGCCTTCCGGTGTTGGTTATTTGTTTGTTAGATTCACAATTCTGAATCCAGACTGTACCACTCAAGGGTGAATAACTAACTTAGAGTAATTTACTTAACTTCTCTGAACCTCGGGACAAATTTAAAGCTGTTCTATGTTGTGAAGAGAACTTAACAACTTGAATACACTTTAAGAATATATAGTCTTATTCTAAAACTATCAAGTTCCCATGTGCTCCTCTGAATTAGCCTATTTGGCTATTGCCAAAATTTGCCTATTAAGTCTTCATTTTTCACACCCCTTTTGCTGACTCTTTTCCATGCACGTATTATTTAGGTATTTTAGTAGAGTTAGTTTTATAGGCAGATCCCACTGGCTTTGGAGCCATGAGTTTTCTCTGAGCAGATCTTGCATATTTCTCTAATTATGGTTTATTGGAGAGAAATTTTACACTCTTTAATAGTAAATAATTGCAGATAGGAATGACTGAAGCTATCATCTACTAATAGCACCATTTACCTTCCTGCCTCTGTTTATTTGAATTAATTTGGAGTCAAAAGTCTCTATGTATCACTGTGTCCCAAGCTTTCTTCCATGAAAGAATTTGGAGTAGAATTTAATTCAGTTCTAGGAAAAAATAAAAACCTAAGTGCTATTGATAAATTTCATTTGCAGAAGAAAATGGATAAAATATTCATATTTAACAGAAGACATCCCAAAAGATGGCAGATAGCCAGTAAAGCACTCAACCACTCCCAAGCTGTTAGTGGTTTTGGAAGATAGACTTTTTCCCCTAAACATTGTCCACATCATTGACATAGCTGAGATGAATTTGGCATCTCCATTAAGTTACTTATTTCTACAATTATCTTTAAATTACATCACACTGAAAATATATCCTGCTTTTTTATATAATCTATTGAGTTTTTTTTTTCCTTTGAAAGTAAAGAAATCATAATATGATCTCTTCCTGTACTTAAGTCAAACTCAAATTTATTTAGTTGTGATAATGAGAATTCATTCCTTGTCTAATGATGACTCTAATAGCACCTAATGAATGAACTAATGGAGCAATTGAAGAAGAGATAATTATGTTAGTTCATTATAGTCAAACTGGTTGTATTTTATTAGCAGAAGATCTATTCTATGATGCTTGTATGTAAAAAATTAAACATAGTCAAACTCCAGGTGGAATCTGCTATTTCATGTATAAGTTAAATAATGAGTTACATAGGATAAATTATTATGGATTTTTGGAATAAAAGCAATGCTTTTGATGTTCAAGAAAAAGATTAAAATCTATTTATCTATATAAGTGTATTATGCCATCAGTTGAAAAAGAAAGTACCCAAAGTTATTGTTCAGTCCTTCCCAATCTGATCATAATTCTTAAAACCCCAACATCATTTTCATTGAACCTTTTAAGTGGAGAAGGTGGTTGCTTTAAGTTGTAAATTTTCAAGTTTTTTTCCCAGAAAATTATCATAGTTACCACAACTAATTTAGCAATATTCTTTGTTTTCTCATTAAATCAAAAGCATTTTTCCTGATTTTTGTCTGGTAACTCCATTATCCAAACACCTGGTAAATTTCTTTTCTTGCCTTTTCTGCTTTCTTCTTATACTTTTGCTTGCCAATGCCAAATATTATATATGAACGGTTTTAGAATTTGAAGCTTTGAATGCTGTTTCCTTCCGCAAGAACAGGTTTTCTTTTATTCTGACAAGCATTTAAGGTACAAAAGAGATCACTCTGATGCAATCAGGTATTGGGCTGATTCAAAGCTGGGCTTCCTAAGGGCGCCTCTATTTCATGTCAATTCTTATTCATAGGGCTCTGCTCTTTAAGGGTCTCAACTTTAAGCCAGGGGATTTTACTGGGATTTTTCTTCCATGGCAAAACTCAGATCCTGCCTTCCGTCTCCTCAGTTCTGTGAGATGGCCAGATGCTTTTCCAGCTTCTCACCTCTCCGCTGCTGCTTTAGAATCGGTTCATGCCTTCAGAGGGAAAGCAGAGGCAAGCAATGGCAGTTTTGCTCTGCTGGGTTTTCCTTCCTAGATCTAGGTTGATGAAGCCTTCACTTCCTTGGTAACTCTCTAATGTCTTCAAATAGATTTTTTTTTTTAAATATAAGTCTTAATAGTTTTCTATTTCAGCATTTCTGGGCTTCTAACTCATGATGAAAACCAGTTGACTTTTCAGAACATTGCCATTAGGAAGATGTTCCAAAAGTCGGACTTAGGCTATTTCTTGCCCCAGTCTTAGGGTTGTGTGGTGGTTGATATTCCGATTAACCAAATTCAAGGAAAGTCTAGATTTGTGAAGACTGTTGTGTTAAATATTAACCATTAATATGTCTGAAGTGAAGTTCTACAATATTTGATTATCCATAAAGGGTAATTGGTCACTATATGTGGGCCGTATCTGAATTCCTACTGGAAACCTTGTGGTGTGCAAGATATTTTACTATTATCATCTCATTTCCTTCTCACAGCAACATGTATGCAAAGTCGGCCCTGCTATCTAGGCAAGGCCTGCTATCTGTGCAAGATAACTGAGGATCAGAGACATCCAATAACTTTTTATCAATAAGTCACTTAGCTTATAGATTCTAATAACAACAGTAATGAAGTAAGATTGGACTCAAGTATATCACATTTCAAAGTGTGTGGATTTTCTATCACATTATGCAAATGTTGATATCTGTATACCTAAAAATAAAACTTCTGTGCTGGGGATATAGTTCAGTGGTAGAGTACTTGCCTAGCATGTGCAAGGCACTGGGTTTTAACCCAGGCACTCCTAAATAAATAAATAAAAACAACTTCAGATTAGTAGTCTAACATTTTGTCCAATGTGAGTGTTGGGTCAAATTTATACATTAATATGCAGAGTTGTTTTTTGATCATGGATATCTCTTTGTGTGGCTTTATATGGCCATATGTGAAGAGAACATACTTTGAACAAGATGTATGGTCCTGTTTTTGTTTTTTGTTTTTTTGGGTTTTTTTTGTTGTTGTTGTTGTTGTTGTTGTTTTTGAAAGCTTGGCTATAAAGGAATGGATAAGAGGTGAGGGTAGTTGAAGGGGACCCAGGATAAATGGAGACTGGTTATTTTAAGTTGGAGCACTAAGGACACATGGATTTTCTTGGGGAAGGAGCCCACAAGGAGAAGCATGAAAGGTCTGTGTGAAAGGGACTTATATTTGGAGTTAGCCAATCCCAAAAAAACAAATGCTGAATGTTTTCTCCGATATAAGGGGGGTGACTCATAGTGGGGTAGGGAGGGAGAACATGGGAGGATTAGATGAACTCTAGATAGGGCAGAGGGGTGGGAGGGATTAGCAAGGATGGTGGAATGTGATGGTCATCATTATACAAAATCCATGTATGAAG